TGAAAATGGACGAAAAAAATACGGGATATGGCAGTTACCGGTTATCAGCTTCTCCAAACTTGCGTATACGGGGAGAGCTAGATGTCACAGGCGTCAGTGGGATGGCTATTCACTCACATTCGGTGGTTACGCCCGCTTAATCCTGACAGCTCCTGTACAATAGGTACCAGCTCGCCAGGTCAGGATTAATTCTGTTGGTGTCATAAAGCTAAGTCTTGACGCTAAACTTGGCCTTAAGAAAAAGAAAAAAGATAAGTTGCTGCCTTTACGGATTGGAACTTGGAACGTCTGGACCATGCTGACAGGTCTTGATAACATGGTCCTCTCACACGGCCATATTGGGAAAACGGCTCTCATTGATAGGGAGCTATCATGTCTGAATCTTGACATAGTTCCCTTGCAGTAAACTTATATAGACAGTAGTGCATCTCTCAAAGAGGAAAATTGTATTTTTTCTTGAGTGGCCTGAATGCCAACCATCACAGACTTCATGGCATTAGCTTTGCTATCCAAAAAAATCTTGTGAGGTCGATCAAACCTCTCTACGGGAATTTCAGAGCGAATTATGTTGATTCTGTCTCCAAACCACAATTGCAGAATTGGATGAGGAGCCTACCGAAGGAGAGCTTTCTGTAGCAGTAAGTGACCTGTCAAATGGGAGCGCGCAGAGAGAGGATAGTATTCTGAAATTTTTAAGGAAAATAAGAATGTTCTTTCCCCGCAGTTGCGTACATTGCTACTGCAATGCTGGGCGACGACGTGAAATACCACATAAAATACGGGACGCCAAATCGTTACCATGTATAAAAATAAGTGTGACAAGGGTAAGTGTAATAATTACAGGGGGTTATACCTTCTTTCCGTGGCGGGTAAAAGAGGCTAGACAAAGATGCAAATGACCCACAGTGGATGACTCAACAGTATTCTACTACTGTGTTCGTTGTCAAAAACCGTGCCGATCATGCATTGTATTATTTTTTTAGTCATGAGCGGCGCTGTGTTTTAAGATCGTCGCCATTGACGAAAAAGGCCTTAGAAGTAATTGAATTTTAATATAGAAATGCAACGCAAATGCTTAAGGGTGAATATATATATATATATATATATATATATATATATATATATATATATATATATATATATATTAAGCGTTTCCCCCCAAGTAAGGCGGGAAGCCACTAGGACGCAAGGGGTTACAGAAGATTTGGAGCAAGATCAGATAGGAGTGATAGAGGAAAAGATGAGGAGAAGGATAGTGGATAGATCAAGGCAACTGGAGATGTCGATTGACATTACATTTGAATAATTGGAGATTATAGCTCTTAGGGAAACTGGAATAGGGAAGGGTGTTCCACAGGTGAGAGGTGCGAGACATGAAGCTATTGGAGTAGAAGAGACGGCTACATTTAGGAGTTTCGATAGTGAAGGGGTGAGAGCGGGATGCCAGCTTCGTAGGGCTCTTGAATTCATGAAGTCTGGGAACCAGCGAATGCAGCTCCTCGGAGCAATTACCATGAAAGTATTTGTAAAAAAAGACAGAGGGAGGCGACAGCGCGTCTATGAGAGAGCGACTGTAAACGAGATGCCAGAACAGGGCCAATTATATTGCATATCCGTCTCTGGATTTTATCAAGAACCCTGAGGCAAACAGAAGGGGCTCCAGACCATATATGGCAGCAATACTCCATGCAAGGGCGAATTGTTGATTTGTAGATCTGAAGGATCGATTCTGGGGAGAAAAATTTATATATTGTAAATGATTTTTTTTCTCGGAAAATGAAATCAAATTTAATAAAAAGAAAGGAACTGCCGGAGGCTAAGAGCTGCTGAAAATGCCAGAGAGAATCGTAAAATGCGAAAGCGGTTTTATAAAACAAATAACATGCTGCAAATAAAAGACTAAAGTTATTTTATTGTAAATTATATGTCAGAGGTCAGGAACGAATGCGATCTTTACAGACAGTAGGCATCTATGAAAGCTATTAGGAGCTAACTTGGAGAGAACTAAAAGTCGCGTGCTGGCAAATAAAAGGGTTAATTACTGACGACGGATATACGTCTAATGTTGGCCCCGACATACTTGACGATTCAACGTGATGAGGGAACATGACTTTTTTTATTCAAAATCGGATCCAACAGGTCAATACAATATGGTTACAGCGTTTCAACCTGCCATAAAAGAGAAACGAAATCTGAATTCTAAAACAAAATAACCAATAAAAAATAATGAATGACAGCCATCTTAAAAGTGAAATTTAAAATCTTTGAGAAACGCCAGAGATCAGAACTGGACTCAGAACGGAGTATCTGTGCGATTCGTGAAGCGTCATCTATCTATCTATCTATCTATCTATCTATATATATATATATATATATATATATATATATATATATATATTGTTGATTAGATAATATCAATGTCCGTTATTTAGAGTTTCATGTGATAATCGTCAGGTGGAATTGTTCTTCCACTAAACTCGAAATAACGGATTTTTATATTATTGAATTAACAATAAATAAATAAATAAATATATATATGTTGTGGAGTCCTTCTAAAGAGTCTATGTTGAACTCTTCCGCCTAGTAGGAGAGAAGGCCTTGGTGAAACAGTCGAATAGATTGTCCAACTGTCGAACTCTCTGCCTCGGGCAGAGAGGAACCCGAACGAGGCTTTGCCGAAGGGCAAAGTTTCGTCCGGGGAGGTAGACAGGCCCTGAACCAGTTCATGCGGGTTCTAAGGGAATTTTTTTAGGCCGAGCCTACCGGCTTCTAGAACCCACGGTACACTCGGCCTTATGCCACATACATCCCTCGTGGGGTGGGGGGGATTGCTCTTAAATATAACAGTCGAATAGATTGAATGCTGGGTCAACCGACACACACTTACTAGTCGTGTAATACACTTCTGTTGTACTTACTGTTTAATATATATCTGCGACACTTGTTTTGTTATTTCTTAATATATGTATATATTTATTTATATATATATAGAGAGAGAGGGAGAGGGAGAGAGTAAGACAGAGACAGAGACAGAATACACAGTTTATTTTATATTTTAAGCTTATAGCTTGTTTCAAGCTTTAGATTTTTTTAAATTTTATATATATATATATAGACGGAAGGGAAATAGGATATACACACATATATATATATATATATATATATATATAAATATATATATATATATATATAGAGAGAGAGAGAGAGAGAAATAGAGAGGCAGAGTTTACAGTTTATTTTATATATTAAACTTTTAGCTTATTTTAAGCTTTAGCGTTTATTCCTACTATTTTGGTAAATAGATAGATGGATAGACGGAAGTGAAATAGATAGATAGATAGATAGATAGATAGATAGATAGATAGATAGATGGAAGTAAAATATATAGATAGATAGATAGATAGATAGATAGATAGATAGATAGACGGAAGTGAGATAGATAGATAGATAGATAGATAGATAGATAGATAGATAGATAGATAGATAGATAGACGGAAGTGAGATAGATAGATAGATAGATAGAAGTAAAATATATATATAGATAGATAGATAGATAGATAGATAGATAGATAGATAGACGGAAGTGAGATAGATAGATAGATAGATAGATAGATAGATAGATAGATAGATAGACGGAAGTGAAATAATAGATAGATAGATAGATAGATAGATAGATAGATAGATAGATAGACGGAAGTGAGATAGATAGATAGATAGATAGATAGATAGATAGATGGAAGTGAAATAGAAGATAGATAGATAGACGGAAATGAAATAATAGATAGATTGATAGATAGATAGACGGAAGTGAGATAGATAGATAGATAGATAGATGGATAGATAGATAGATAGATAGATAGACGGAAGTGAGATAGATAGATAGATAGATAGATAGATAGATGATAGATAGATAGATAGATAGATAGATAGATGAAATTGAGATAGATAGATAGACGGAAGTGAAATAGATGAATAGATAGATAGATAGATAGATAGATAGATAGATAGATAGATAGATAGATAGATGGAAGTGAAATAGAAGATAGATAGATAGATAGATAGATAGATAGATAGATAGATAGATAGATAGAAGTGAAATAGAAGATAGATAGATAGAAAGACAGGAGTGAAATAGAATATATATATATATATATATATATATATATATATATATATATATATATATATATTAAAAAAGAAGAGAGGTACCACAAATGGTTTTTGTTTTGTAATGTGGGATTTTTAGAAAAAAATATTATGCTTTATTTTCCATAATTTTACTACACGTGTTTCTGGTCTCGCGACTGTCTTCAGGTAAAAGGCGAAGATTTCCACATATTCACATTTCCACATAATCCACGTTACAACCAAAAACATTTGCGGTACCTCTCTTCTTTTAATATACACACTTTTCTCTCGTTGGAACCACTATAACCTCTTTTATATATATATATATATATATATATATATATATATATATATATATATATAGACAGAAGGGAAGTTGGATTAAATTTTTGAAATTACCAAATTATAAAATTGTTATGTACTGTTATATAGATATGTAAATATTGTGAAACGTAACTTCCTAGGTATAGATGAGTTCGTTATATTCATTTATGCGCAAGTATATTTTGGAAAAGATGTAAATCCATCTCTTCACCCCCAGCTATGGATTAAACAGTATCTAGAAAAATCATTATTATCTAGAAAGAAAAACGTTTCACTTGCAAATAAGACAGAATTTTTTTTCAAAAATATGTTTCTGCTTTAAATAACCTAGAATGTGTTGATAAACTGTAAAAAAAAAATCAAATCAAATCAATCAGTCAATCTTGCTAAGTATATTCCTTCGTATATAGAACTACCTGTTCAATTTTGAATTCAAACAGGCCGATTATGGGGCTTCGAAATGCTGTATTTCACTTCTCACGCATTCAACTCGAACACAAGGGGGTTTCGTCACTGGTTTGTGTTATCAATTGGGTAAAAAATTCTCCATGAGTAAATTGCCTGCAACAAGTCGTAGCAGCGATAATCTGTTAACATCTGCTGTCAAGTGTGGCAGAAGACCGTCATACTATGTAATCTACTCCTCTGACCCCGGTTAACCTGATATATGCTCATCAAACCAAATGGTTTGTGACCTCGTTCTTTAAGTACAGAAGGTTAATAATGACTACATCCGTACATGTGCGTTGGCAGATAAAAAGATATCAGTACTAAATCACTGGTTTTATCTATCCATCTATCTTTTTTATTCATATCTATCTATCTTTTTATTCATATCTATCTATCTTTTTATTTTATTCATATCTCCCTGTCTATCTATCTCTTTCAGTCTGTTCGCTATTTATTAGTTTATTCATATCTATCAGTCCATCTATCTATCTTTCTGTCATTTTATTAATATCTATCCCAGTTTGTTCATTATCTATTTATCTATCTATCATTCTATCCAAATATCTATCTATGTATCTATCTATGTATTTATCTATGTATGTATCATTGTATTCCTATCTATCATTTTACTCATATCTATCTATCTATCTATCTATCTATCTATCTATCTATCTATCATTATCTCACTTTGTTCATTATCTATCATTTTATCCCTATTTATTTATCTATCATTTTACTCATATTTATCTATCTTTTATTTCTAACTATCTTTTTCTATCCAGCTATCATTTTATTCATATCTATCTATCTCTGGAATTGGAATGAAAACAGCGATGGCACATATCCTGAATCGATCATAAAAATTCAGGATGTGGAATTAGTAAATACTAAACACTTCAGTTACTAAATGGGTCAGCTATAATAAATTTGGCTTGGGAGGGGGGAGGAAATTGAACTGAGAACCAGAGTTAATTCTGCCCAACATTGCAATTGCTAATAAACAACCAATAGCCATCAATCAAAAAAATTGAGTCATATTCTTTAAACAGCTTCGTCAGATCGAGACTTGAATATGGATATTATACATGGCGCCAAACTTGTTCAGAAATATCTAAACTGTCAGTTGTATACGACCGCTTTCTAAGATCAATGGTTAAAAAAGGCTTTGAGCAAGTGAATCTTGATGATTTTGGCAAAGATCATCCCTCTTTGAACATTGTGGACTGAAACTGCAGAATCAGAAAGAACTGTACCAAATAACAGAATCCACATCACTTGAAGACTGCCAACAGCGGAAGAGCGATAACAGCTACTGGACTTGAGAAACCCATTTGCATGAAAAATTATTTTAAGAGAAAGATTTTATAAATTTCGAGCGAAAGCACTACTGGCTGCTCAATCAATGAATGTCAAATATTTCCTTATAGGGAAAGGGCTAATATTACCAATATCTATCTATCTATCTATCAATCTATCTGTTTTAAGCTGATCACTATTTATCTATCTATATCAGTTTATTATCTATCTATCTATCTATCTATCTATCTATCTATCTATCTGTTTTAAGCTGATCACTATTTATCTATCTATATCAGTTTATTATCTATCTATCTATCTATCTATCTATCTATCTGTTTTAAGCTGATCACTATTTATCTATCTATATCAGTTTATTATCTATCTATCTATCTATCTATCTGTTTTAAGCTGATCACTATTTATCTATCTATATCAGTTTATTATCTATCTATCTATCTATCTATCTATCTATCATCTATCTATTTCAGGCTGTTCATTATCTACCTATTAATCTATCTCTCTAGTTCAGTCTGTTCATTATCTATCTATCTATCTGTCTATCTATCTATCTATGTATCTATCTATCTCTCTCTCTCTCTCTCTCTATATATATATATATATATATATATATATATATATATATATTTCAGTCTGTTCACTATCTATCTATCTATCTATCTATCTATCTATCTATCTATCTATATATATATATATATATATATATATATATATATATATATATTTCAGGCTGTTCACTATCTATTTCAGTTTGTTCACTATGTAGCTATCTATCTATCTATGTACCTAATATTTTATTATCATTTTAACTCTAGAAGGGAATTTTGTACGACATGCAATAAATTTCACTTTGCACACGAAACTAAACATCAAATAGAACTTGAACGCGCATAAATTTTAACAAAATTGAGGGAAAAAGAAAAATGGTTTAATAAAATACATTCCCTGCTCAGAAAGTTTTTCTAATGGATGTGAAATATTTATTATTTTTTTTTTGTCTGGAAAATTTGATAAACTGATAAAAACTGAATATATTTTTGGAAGAAATCCACATTAAATCTGATATATAAAATGTATTTTCTGCGTGTAGATTTGTTTGTATGTAACATTACCTAATGGATGTGCCTCTCTCTAACAAAAGGATGAAGACATTTTTCATTAAATTTCTATAATGGAAGTATTAAAATATTTTCTGTAGCTGAGCTGATTTCTGTGAGAAATGACTAGCAGGCAAGATAAATAGTTTCAGGTAACAAGTGCCGATATATATATATATATATA